AAGAGCAAGGGGAGCTTGGACAAGCTTGTCTGCAGCCTCTGGTTAAAGAGAAAGTGCCTGAGAGCACATCATTTGTTGTGATATTGGCTCTGGGGGCATTAAAAAGTGTCCTAACATAACAGGTGAACTTCTCTCCGAAGCCCATAGCTTCCATCGCCTGAAATAGAAAGTTTGTCACATGCTTCATTAGCGTCCATGGAGATTGTTAGCAGGGGGTCTTCGTTTTTTTGAGCAGTGTTCATTATATGGAACAAATGTCGCACACTATCTGCTCCGTGCCTGTTTTTAATGAAGCCTGTTTGGTCAGCGTGTATTATCTTAGTCATGATGTCTTCCAATCTCAGTGCAATTACTTTAGATAATATTTTATAATCTGCATTTAAGAGGCTGAGGGGTCTGTAAGAGTCACATCTGTTTGTCCTTTCAGGATTAATGTGATTGTTGCGATTTCCAGTGACTCTGGTAATTTATTATTTTTTAAAGCTTCTTTGATCATATTCGTGAGTGGTGTCAGTAATTTATTAGAGAAAGCCTTATAATAATCGACCGAGAAGCCGTCTGGTCCAGGGGTCTTATTAGTTTGTAAACACTTGAGGGCTCGAAGTACCTCCATCTCAGACATATCTGCATCAAGCAGTTCTTTGTCCTCATTATGTAATTTAGGAAGAGTTATTCCATCTATAAATCTTTTTGCAGCAGTACTGTCGGCCCCTCGCTCAGATTTATACAAATCTTCATAGAACCGTTTAAACTCTGCATCAGGAAGTTTATCATCTTCTGTTAATATTGTCTGTATAAATTTATCAGATGTTTCTTCCTTACTTTGCCAGGACAGTAGTTACTTGTCTTGTTTCCATATTCGTAGTAGTGATATCTAGTTCCTGCCATGGCTGCTTCCGCTCTGCTGGTGCATAAATGATCATATTGCATCCTTGTTTGTGTTAATGTATTGAGGTATTCTTCCTTTTTGGTGGCGTATTTTCCTGCTCCAGGTTTTTAATGTCAACCTCCAATTTGGTTATCTTCACTCTAATTTTTTATGACATAACCAAACCTC